CTCCCGAAGTGCTGGGATTACAGGCGTGAGCCACTGTGCCCAGTTCTTTTTTTTTTTTTTTTTTTGGCAAGGAATTTCACTCTGTCCCCGAGGCTGGAGTGCAGTGGCTTGATCTCAGCGCACTGCAACCTCCGCCTCCTAGGTACAAGCGATTCTCCTGCCTCAGCCTCTCGAGTAGCTAGGATTACAGACGCCTGCCACCATGCCTGGCTAATTGGTCTATTTTTAGTAGAGACAGGGTTTCACCATGTTGGCCAGACTGGTCTCGAACTCCTGACCTCAGGTGATCCACCCACCTTGGCTTCCTAAAGTGCTGGGATTACAGGCCTGAGCCACTGTGCCTGGCCCCATAAATTAATATTTAAATATGAATATACAGCTTTCACTCCACCAATATGACTGTATACATATATGTATAGTTCCAGTCTACATTTCAAGTGCAGTAATTCTACTTTAAAATCCTTATGTCATTACCAAAGTCTTTCCTATCTAGATCCAAATCCAACATCTTCTGCCCCAAACCAGCTTCCCTTCTTAACATTCCCATTCTCTGTATCCTTATTTCAAAATTTTTCATCCTCAAACTGGCGCCGAGGCTTTTTTCAATTTTTAGAATGCCCTTTAGATTTGCTTATCTAAGCAAGTCACTGCTAAAGCCTAAGAAATGATATCAAGGGCCAGGAGCAGTAGCTCGTGCCTGTAATCCCAACACTTTGGGAGGCTGAGGTAGGCAGATCACCTGAGGTCAGGAGTTCGAGACCAGCCTGGCCAACATGGTGAAACTCCATCTCTAAAAACAAAAAGGTAGCGGGGCGTGGTGGTGCATGCTTGTAGTCCCAGCTACTCAGGAGACTGAGGCAGGAGAATCGCTTGAACCCAGGAGGCGGAGGTTGCAGTGAGCCAAGATCATGCCACTGCACTCCAGCCTGGGCGACAGAGTGAGACTCCGTCTCAAAAAAAAAAAAAAAAAAGAAAAGAAAAGAGGCCAGGCGCGGTGGCTCAAGCCTGTAATCCCAGCACTTTGGGAGGCCAAGACGGGTGGATCACGAGGTCAGGAGATTGAGACCATCCTGGCTAACCCGGTGAAACCCCATCTCTACTAAAAAATATAAAAAACTAGCCAGGCGAGGTGGCAGGCACCTGTAGTCCCAGCTACTCGGGAGCCTGAGGCAGGAGAATGGCATAAACCGAGGAGGCAGAGCTTGCAGTGAGCTGAGATCCGGCCACTGCACTCCAGCCTGGGTGACAGAGCAAGACTCCATCTCAAAAAAAAAAAAAAAAAAAA